GGGACCCTGCACCCCCGAGGGCACAAATTTTTGTGCACCGGGCTCCTAGTATAACATAAAGCCCAAGCTGGTTTGGCTCAGTGGATAGAGTGTTGGCCTTTGGACTGAGGGGTCCCAGGTTTAATTCTGGTTAAGGGCACATACCCTGGTTGCAGGCTTGATTCCCAGCAGGGGGTATGTAGGAGGTAGCTAATCAATGATTCTCATAATTTATGTTTCTATCTCTCTCTCCCTCTCCCCTTTTCTCTGAAATCAATAAAAAAAATATTATTTAAATGTTTTTTTAAAAAGAATATAACATAAAGGAGATAAATTACAAAGTCATAAGGTGAACAAAGTAGGCCACAGTAAACTAAATACAGGTCCCTGATTTATGGTTTCATTCATTGTATAATGTAAGTGGACTAAGATGCTCAGTACTAGATACAAGCTAAGGATTAAGACATTGGCCTGCAATGGCCATATGAGTATTGGTTGGGAATCTATACTAATAATAGAGGAATATGCAAATTGTCCAGGATGCCATCATAGTAACGACTGAACAGCAGGTTGCGTGGGGCGACCAGGCCAGCAACTGAACATCAGGCTGTGTGGGGCAACCAGGTTGGCAGAGGGGCGGGGGCAGTTGGGGGTGACCAGGCCAGTGGGGGAGGGGCAGTTCTCACCCTATCCTTACGCATGCAGAGGCCGTTAGGGATGATCAGGCTGGCAGGGGGCCAGTTAGGGGCATTCAGGCAGGCAGGGGAGCAGGTAGGAGCCAGTGGTCCCCGAGATTGTGAGACTAAAATATTGTTAGTCCCTGGGATTGGGCCTAAACCGGCAGTCAGACATCCCCTAAGCGGTCCCGGATTGGAGAGGGTGTAGGCTGGGCTGAGGGGACCCCTGCTCCATGCATGAATCTCGTGCACCAGGCCTCTAGTAATAATAATGTAGTGCCAAGCAGTCTAATGTTCAAAAGTTGAGAAATTACAGGAGTATAGCTTTTTTGCAATTAAAAAATCATATTGATATACAATATATTTCCTCTTTTTCTTAGAAATAAAGCACTATGACAAAAAATTAAGATTATGACATTTTAGGGATATTACTAAAGTGTGATTAAGGATAAGATAAGCTCTTATAAAATGTTACTGAATACCGGTTGTTTGAACTTAAATGTAGTAATATATACTATATTTGTAAGTCAAACTCCCACAGTATTTACCATTTGTAGATATTAATGATTATAAGATCCACTACACTTATCCTGATCTTTAAAATGTTAAGTGATAATTGAATTCTTTGAAATATTAGCATGAGCGAACATGCAGGATATAATTGATTTGAAAGACTTGGATAATTTACCTCCTTTATTTTTTTCTCACCCTATCCTTACCCTCCAACAGTAAAAGAAGTGAACAGGTCCTGGATCAGTTGCATTAACTCTTTTCTATCCAAACACTAATTGGTTAAATGTAATTGAGTCAAATTTTGAAAAATATTTTCCAAAGCTATGTGAATATTCAAGCATATAGTGAAATTTTGTTACCCTAATAAACGTTAGTTGAAAAATCAGGATCATGCTTACAATTTTTAGCAGAATTAGTCTTCAAAAGTAGAGAATGAAAAAATCACATAGATGATAATGCTGGTGATAATGATAGTAGTTAAACTTCCACAATTTATTGAAAACTACTATATTCTTTACATGTAATATAAAACTCATAATGGCCTTCTGGGTTTGGTACTATTATTTGATAATAATTCCATTTAACAGATGTTGAAATTGGACATAGAGAAATTAAATAACTTAGCCAGGTTTACACAACCAGTAGATTCTGACGGCATAGACCAAGTCCATGGTGTTGACTAAATCATACATGAGAGGAGCACAGAACCATCAAATTCAACATATTTTTATTAATAAAGTTAGATAATAAAAGAGAAGTTGCTTATTAGGAAATAGTTATGGAGGATCAGTTTTGTTGGTTATAACTGTTAAAAAAATGAAATAGATTAAATACTAAAAGTAATGAGTAAGCAATAGTTTTATTGAATGCCTGTTATGAACTTAGCATCATGCAACGGATATAAGACACATATGCAGTAGGAGATATAGCAGTTAGCATAATACCTGCCAACAAAGACCAGAAGTTAAGTTAGAGGTTATGGCAAATGAAATACAGGTGCTCTGTGACATGGTGAGGTTTTGTCCCAATAAACCTAAGTTGAAAATATTGTTAGTCAAAAATGAATTTAGTACATTTAACTTACCAACCGTCATAGCTTAGTCTAACTTTCCTTAATGTGCTCAGGACACAATATCCAAAAAACGCTGGTAACTAAGAGCCCTGGAGAGTGCCAGGGGTTTACCCTCGCAATTGCACTGCTGACTCCTAGCTGTATGCACTGCTGCTGACCAGCATCACCAGAGCATCGAACTGCAGGGGGATAACAGTAAAAAATCAAAATGCCAAGTACTGTTTATACCAGATTTGAATTGCTTCTGCACCGTTGCAAAGTTGAAAAAAAAAAGCGTAAGACGTAAGTCAAAACACATCATAAATTGGGGACTGTCTGTACATTTAATTATCAAACAATATAGAGGTGATACTTAAAGCAATGTACAAACTGAGATAACTTGTTCAGATAAATGTGGTTATCAGCCTAAAATTCCAAGTTAGAAGTACTATAGTTTAGAGTTGATTCCGAATATGATTTTTACTTGTAAAATCCTAAATGATAAACTAAAACGAGAAAAGAATGGTAAACAAGAAAGAGAGAAGTCTGACCTACATTACCATCTGTTAGGAAAATGAACACCTGCCATGTTGAATGAGAGATGAAGCTTGGAAATTCCCAATGAATCTCAACAGCCAGCACTACCGGTTAAGAGCAAAAACAGATTTCAAGCCCAATTTAGCTTTCTGTTTTACATTTAGACAAGATATTTAAAAAAGGAGGAAAAATAAACCTCTAATAGGTTATAAACCATGGCTTTTAGAATCCAAGAAATCATTTAAGGTCCAATTAGAATGGCATTGCGCTGAGAAAGAATATTGTCCAATGTGTCTCCAGAGCAGATCTGTTCTCTCCGAAAGCATCTAGTTTTCTGACTGATGGATCCACGTGTGTCAGAAGGTATGAAGGCAACAAACCTAGCCTGGGATTTAGTCTCAGCCATAACATCCTGTCAGTTTGTGTAATCGTTTGACTCGTTGGATCTAAATATTCTGTCTGTGAAGTGGATAAACTTGGATTAAGTGATTTTCAAGATTACTTTCAATTGCTCTTCAATTTATGCTGGGCACTTATTAAAAAGTAGCCTATTAAAAATTGCATGCTTTAAATAATATTTATTTTATAGATGGAAATTGTTTTACTAGAACTATCTTTTATGCTTTATTATTATTATTTTACTTTTTTCTGAAATCTTACATCAGTATCTTTTCTCTGCTTTAGGGTGGAGTTAGTGGGTTGACCGGAGAGCTGGAATTTGGAGAAAATGGAGGCAATCCCAACGTCCACTTTGAAATTCTTGGAACCAACTATGGAGAGGAGCTTGGCCGAGGCATTCGCAAAGTAAGACCAGAAACATTGATAAATATGCTTTTCCTACAGTAACTGTGGTTGTGTTTGATTGTCTTCATACAATACGTTCACAGTATACATTACAGTTTCTTCTGTAATTTATAAAAGAAGAAAGGGGGAGAATTAGACATTTAAATGACCTTAAGTACTTACCAGAAGTATTAGTCAATGAATTCTATTTATGCTTCAGAATAATTTAAAGGAAGAAGGGTACAGGAATCTGATGGTTTCCTAGGGAACTAGCATAATCTTTCATTCATTATAATAATTTTTGTAAAGTAATGAATTTAATATTTGTACAATGCATAGCTGCTTGGTTTTTAACTTGTAACATACACAAAATCATAAAAAGAGCTTAGAGGAATTTCATTTAGTAAGAGTGAAGTCCTTCTATAAAACTGACATTTCAGTATTTCAGCTTCTCTATGTGGCATGCAGAAGTAGCAAATGGCTTGCAGGAACTGAGCTCTGGTGCTATACTTCAGATCACATGTAAGAAGAAGCTGAGGGCAGTAAAGAATATTTCATGAACTCCTGGAACTATGACTTTCTTGAGGAGAAATATAAAAGCCCCTGGGGAAATGGCTGCTATAGTTTGAATTTGCCATTTTTACATATTTGTGGTAGGAAAAAAACCCAAGGTAATTACATGTGCATACAGGGTTCATAAATATAAATTTCTAATTGTATAAAGTTGCTGTATCGAGTGAAGAGGTTCTTCAGTATCTGCTCCTTTTCAGTGTTGAGGATGCAGAGAAACAGACAAAATTATGGAGCTGTTCTAATTAGCAATAAAAACCTCTGCTAGAGGAGCTGAAACTATTTTAATGTGTTTTAATTATTGTTTTATATCAAAGCATAATAAACATAGAAAACTGCAAAAAATATTAGGATAGTTTCATGAATTATTTTCAAGGAAACAACTACTACTATGGTCACGAAATAGGACATACCAAGCATCCTAAACACCCGCTCATACTTCATTCCCAACCTCCTCCCTTCTGAATAGTATAACCAATAGTCTGAATTTTATGATACTCATTTCTTTACAGTGTTAAATATAATTTTATTACCTATATGTGCACTTACTATGGTCTGTTTCTACTTTTAAGCTCTCAAGTAACTTTAAGGGTACTATGAATTAGTTTGTGAATTGGCAGCTCTATTTATAAATGGGGCAGTTTTTTTCACATGGACACACACACATACACACACACACACACACAATGTCTTCAAGTATACTTATCAAGGGAAAACTTTACCATACAAATAATGACAGTAGTTACTAGATGTGTGTACAAAATTGTTTCCACTCCTAGTATCTCCATGTCTCAGAAAGACTGAATGGCTTTCCAATTGACAAACTGTCAAGTTGTCAGTGTTTATTCTGCTGCAGGTGGCAAGGTGTATGCAATGCCTGAAGCCTTATCACCTGGAGCAGGGATACTGCCAGCTCTCATAACTGAGTAGGGTTTGTCTGCTTGGGATTTGAATGTATATTGACCCAGTCACAAATGTTGGACTAATCTTGTCTGTATTGGCCTGGTACGGAGAATTCATTTTTCAGAATTGGGAGAGAATGTGAAAAGGATTACTTAATTTTCACTGATGCTGATCAAAACAAGAGATTTCCTGCTTTGATACCTATTGCATGTTCTTTTACTTTGATGTAAGGTGGTGTTTCATTCAGTAGATGGTGTGTTCAAGGTGTTAGACACTGTATCCTTGAAGATTAATTCAGGTGAACCTCAAAGCCAAATTTCTAAATGATCAAAGTTTTCTATGTCTTTAAACGTTCTCCAAAATTCTGGTTGTTCTGGTTTCTGTTCATCACAATAAAAATTACCAAAAAGAAAAATAATTTAAATAATAGTATTTTAAACAATCTTCTAAAATGAAATTTATTCAAAGATATAAAAAGTAAGTATTAAATTAAATATTTAAGGGGTCAATTTTGTTTTTTTCTTAGAAGAGGAATTTTACACACTAGTTTGTTTGTTTTTCCTTATGTGTCTTAGTTTTGTTTTGTTTTGCCAATGCCACTCACTTTTTACTATGAAGACTGGGTTTTTTCCAGCATTAAAATTTAATACTCTAAACTTAATGTCTTTGAACTTTATCACTAATAGGAAAATGTGGCCTGGAAGAAATAGATTAAAACTGGTTTTGCAACCAATCTTAATTGCATAGTAATGCTTAGTATCTTCATAAAATTGTTTTCTTATGTAAGATGATGAAATAAAATGGTACAGCAGAGATATTCTAGCTACTAGGTATAATTGTTTTTCAGATAGATTTAGAATTTTTACTCAAGTTCTCAACATTAAGTGTAGAAATATAAAATCTGTAGCTTTACATTCTTGGGAAATGCACTGCTTTGCAAAAGGTACTTTTAATGAACTAAAATATTTTCTGCCTTGTACTTAGAAAGAGGAAATAACAGCCTAGCTTTCAAATGGCCAGTGATTAAATATTGTACAGGTATTCTTCAACATTGTACTTGTATTCTGATTCTACGATATCTAAAATAACATTTACTTTTCATATTACTCTGCTTTATGTTTCCTTATGGCACTTTTTGTAAACTGAAACTATATGCATTCATATAATTATATATAAAAACCTTATATGTGTGTGTGTGTGTGTGTGTGTGTGTGTGTGTATAATGCATGTATAGGTAAACATCCTATCTAATAAAGAGGGATATGCTAATTGACCCTCATGCTGTTGCAAAGATGGTGGCGCCCACAGCCAATAAGGAGGGAATATGCTAATTGACTTCCAAACCCTCAAAGATGGCGGTGCCCACAGCCACAAGATGGCCGGCAGGGGAGGGCAGTTGAGGGTGACCTTTCTATCGTCGTATCCTCATGCTTAGCAGAGTTGGCCACTTGGTCACCAAAATTATACTCAATTATTTTACTGGTCATTAGGTAAGATTATGTGCAATTTCTTTGCAGCTATTCACAGAGGATAGGGAAACAGTTTATTGATTATTCCAAACAAATATTTAGATTGATTATTCTAATCACCCACAAAAGTGCAAACTCAATAGGAATTATTGGTATTTGTAGTTCAAGATCATTTTCTAACAACTAGGCTAAATTTATATGTTTAATGGGAAAAGTACGTAGCCTTTCTGTCAGACACACTTGGGCTGAAATTTAGACCCTGTTACTTACTGGCTGTGTGATTTTGGGACTACTAAACCCAGTGAGTCTCAATTTCTTTATCTATAAAATGTGGGTAATAATACTATCCCTGATTGTTGTAAAGGTTAAGTGAAATTATGTTTGTAGGTTACATAATGAGGATTAAAATAATGCTAATTTGAAAATGGACAATAATCTATGTCAACATTTTGCCAACACAAGAAATACAATCTAGTTGCTATTTTGACAAGAAATTGCTATGTGAGGTGGAGAAAGAAATTTAATTTTAGGTGTGATTGACAGCATTATACATGACAATCACAGTAACAGCAGGAAACATTAACTGTTTTGTTTTGTTTAATGTCCTTTTTAACTCTAAAATTCTACAAGTCTCTTAATCAAGTATCTACAGCTCAATGGGAAGCAAATAACAGAGGATCCAGTAGTCAGTATAGCCTGTATTAACCCAGTCTCTATAATCAAGCCCATTATTGGAAAACTTGCCATCCTTATTTAGTGTCATATTTCTAACAATGAATTTATATCTTGAAAGTTTTATATAATGGAGAGAATCTAGTAAGTGCTGTGAATAAGAGACCCAGAGTGTCTTTAGTCCACAGCAAATGACTGTTTGGATTAAGAATTCAAGAACATACCTGATGCAGAGGAGGCAAAGTTCACTTTCCTTCTTACATTACTGGACAATATCCATAGTGGTTCACTCCAGAATCTATCCCACCCCAACCTCAGACACACACCACCACCACCACCACCTCCACCTCCACCAATGAAACTCCAGTCTAGCTCAAATTCACCTACGCAATGTGGCGGTACTTACTATCCACTGAACATCCCCATGTCTAGTTTCAGCCACAAAGGGAAATTAATGTTCATGACCCATTCCCAGAGCAATAATCATTAAAGCAATCTAAATTATAATATATGGAATTTAGAAACATTTGCATATATATGTATTTCTTTGGCAAGGTCTCATTGTTATGATTGAACTTTAAGTGGTAGATATCAAATGTTTATTTCAAAGATGAATAAATGGGCAGACAATGGCAGGAAGGGGTCATATAGTAAGTCACTTGCTCATAAATGTTGGAAACTCACAACAGACTAATTTGATATGCAGTGACATTCATGATATGGTAGGTTCAATTAAAGCATAATTCCAGGGTCTTGTTATTCAACTTGGAATCATGTGCTTTTCTCTTACCTCTGAGTTTCTCTTTAGTCTGTTAGAATATTTGCTTATATGTCTCTCTTATTCTTCCAGGCTTATCTTGACCCCTTCTATGAATTACACATTATCCTTCCACAGGAACTTGGTTTTATACATTGCAACGATTATAAAAATGTATATAGCCTGGGCACATAATCTCACCCAATTTACTAATAGAATTTTCACAACTCATTTGTTTGGGAGCCCTTCATTTACACTAATGACTATTATGTTCATATCCCTGATGAATAATTGAAATTGTAATCATGGCTTTTGGTGATTACTGATAGTGCTGCCTCTTTCCTATCCTCCCCTTCCTCCCCGCCCCCTTTAATTTTCTTTTCATTTGTGACCATGACACCTGACACACTAAAGTAGTCAGAAACCATTAAGCTTTTAGTCCTAATTAAGCTGTTCCATTTTTCAGTGACTGGAAAATCAAGGGATTGATATTTTTTCATTGTTTTAGATAGAAACTATGTTAAGGAAAACTTTTTTGAGACTTTGGGATGACTTACATGTGTAAACTATTGCCGCTTTTAATGTTTTTGCTATGAATTTAGTTACTGCTTTCTCCAATATGGAAAACAAATGTTTGGAAATGGAGATGCTCTTTTAGTAATTAGAAACACTTTTTTAAAAATATATATACA